ATGCAAAAAAATTTCGAATGATTTCTGCCTTTAATAACGATGAAAACGATGGATCCCATGAAAATAACACATAATTAAGCAATGTTTTATAATCAAAGTGCAGTTTAATTTTTTCCATTTATCTTTTAAAGCATTTGTAGAAAATAATGCAAAGTAATTTGAAATAAATTTTGAATATCAAAACACTCACTCCATACGTTTCTGACTGAATGCCATCCCAATATCATTGTCGTTGTCTCCAGGTTTGAATAATTCATAGCAAGCCAATGCATCACGATCTTGGCAATTCTCGACAGGCACTGAAGGTCTTTGCACAGGCATTTGTGCCATTCGCGGCATTGGAACATTGCAAACGTTTATAGTTTCTGTAGCACCATTAGCAAGAGGGCATAACGATGCTATGATAAGCAAAGCAATGAACATTTTCAATGGTCAAAATAATGAAGATTCGACCCGTAATTTAGGCTATATATATGCAGCAAAAACAATTGTTATTTATATCACAATCCAGAAAATTATTAAAGAACTCCCTAGCGTGAGAACGACTTCAGGTGCTCAAACATGGTTTTTGAAATTTATAGTATATAGTATATATTCGTCTCACAATTCGAAGTATTTACAGTTCAAATCAAATCAATTGATATGCAATTAATAGCGATATCAATTAACTTTTAAACAAGTTTTATTCTCTTTAAACAATAATAAATTTTGAATATAATTGCCAAAATTTCTCTTTCAAAACTAATGAAGATTTTTTCTATTCTATGTACTTTAAGAGTTTCAGGAAAAGTAAATCCGTTGTTCCTCTTAAATTGAAAGTTTTTTTCCTTGAAATTCTCGAACACTTAATTATTTATTTATTTATTCATTCTTCCGTTTTTGGCTTCAAATCATCTGAAATTTTCGAAACATGGTGAAAAATATTCATTAATCTGAAAGAAATTTATTAGGTATGTTTGAAAATTTCAGATTTACGAAATGGTGAAATGTTGAACTCAAAAATATTTATAAATGCTATTTTTTCCATGTTTACCAACAAAACAAAAATGGTTTCTGAAACATGTGCGGGTCCATGAGAGATTTACAGTATCTGACAATGCTTTACTTATATTCGAATTGCTAATTTCGGCAATTAATCGTAAAACTGTATTTAATAATAGAGCTCATAGGATCTGCTACTGTCTCTCGGTATTCTCTCGGCAAGTACGACATTGAGATACTTGGAGGAGCATTCTCGCTGCTTTGCGTAGACCTCATTAAAGCTTTGTGTTTGCCAAAAATACTTCCAAAATACTGTTTTCTACCGTTTGGCTATTAATTCCTTTTTTGTTGCTGAGCTGCGGTCTTTATAAATTGTTTTGGTAAAGCGCATCATTTCTTTCTGGTTTGGTTCGTTTGGCTAACTATTATAATAGGACTTTTTCGCAAGTGAGTCACCAGGAATTATACAAAATTGTTGTAATCTACCAAATAATTTGAGATATATGAAACTATATATATATATAGTTTTTATTATATATATAAAGAAATAAAATCATTTAAATAAAAATCTCTATTAATCCAATTAATTTTTTCTCTTTTATAGATATAATAAAAATAATAAAAATATAGTAAAAAAATATAAATATAATAAAAATATAATAAAAATAATAATAAAACATTCATTTCAAAATATAATAAAAATATTCGTTTTTTTTGAATTTAAGAGAAAGAGAAATTTCTAAACATTTCTTTGTTTGTTAATAATTTGTTTTTCATTCATTATTTTGGAGTTTGAGACTATTCAGCTGATTTTTCCTCGCTTTATTGTTTAACTTTAATTCGGTCTCCCCGCAGAGACCTCCAAAAAACGACAATGCGTGGCATAATTTTATACGCAAACAAACAACACTGCTGGTAACAAAAACGAACGTACAATAATAATTATGCCTAACGACGTGTTCTGTTTCATTCACATTCATTAATAAAAAATAATGAAATTCATCGAAAACAATGCTATTTCTTCATCTTTAATAATTAAATTATCGGATAATAAATCCAAATAATAAAATATGTTCAGAAAATTTTTATTAAAATTTCTGAAATTTTTTTTGCTAAACCTAGTATAAAAATAAGGCAGGGTTTTTTTAGCGTGAAATTCAATTAATGAAATTGTCATAAGTCTATCGTCGCCATTTTGTCGCTCTGGAATTTCGATTTTCGCTATTTTGTCGCTGTATTTAAACACCTAGTTGATAACGCTTTAACCGTTTATACAATAATGATATTTCACTGTATTATCCGAATAATCTATATATATATATATATATATATATATAAAGTGATTAACCTCCATTGCAACAGAATATAAGTAATACTACTGGCAAAATGAATTTTTTGCTTTTCATATTCAACTTCTCGTTTTTCTAAATTTTTACGAATTCTTTGGCTTAATATTTGGCCGGAGAGGAATTCACATTAGTTGAGCTCTTATTTTCATTTTTTATTTTTTTGCGTTCAATGAGAGGTGTTTTAATGAAATGAAATCCTATGAAATCTTTTTGTGCAATTTTATACCTTTGAATCTTCGAAAAAAACACAAGTGAGCGAATGAAATTTGATAAAAAATTTCAAACAACATTGAATACTCTGTTCATGAACTATGAGTTATAAGAATGATCACCATCTCCCAGATAAATGAGCGAATGAATTTGAGAGCGTTTCGAAATTTCTACACAATTTTTCTTTTGGACGACCGACCACAACTAGAAATATGTTTAACGAAATGGCACGTCGAAATAAAATTTAATTCATAGTATAATATATTAAAAAATATATTTATATAATATTTATATATATTTATATATTTATAAAATATAAAATATATATATTAAAAAATTTATTTATATTTACAATAAATTTACTTCACTTTAATTCGACTCTTATCATATATTTTGACGTATTGCATCATGTCGAAATAAATACACTATAAATATACTTACACAATGATTATTTCGAATAAATAAGCTAAAAAATTGATAGAAACTTGACAAGTTGATAAGAGAAAAGCGTTATTGAATGAATTTTTTTTCATGTTTTAAGTTTTTTTATCAGTGCGACATTAATATTTCAAGAAAAAGTGGTTGAAATTAATTAATAAAAAAATTTAATTAAATGACCAATGACCAATACTACACCGTCGTACAATTTATTCTCTAATTTTTGCTGAGAATTTTTATTTAAGATTTTTCTTTTCTTCAGCTAAAGAATATTATTGTTTTTCATCCAAAAATATTATTTTTCATCGAAATAATTGTGCCACAATAAATAATATAATAATGAATTTAGCCTTGATTTTCTGCTTTCATGCCCTTCAGTTTTATCTATTTCCGCATTTTGCGTCATTATACAATAAATATATTTTGAATAAATAGGCTAAAAATATTTGCTTATGAATACAATTCCGACCGATTTGATGAATTGTAGAGAGAAATTTTTTAATGGAATGAAGCAAATACAACCGCTCATTCCAAGCGGAAATAATTTTATGGAATCTGATTAGCATAAAATATTGCCGTCAGTTAAATGCATAAATCGTTTATCGTTTTTTCTTGCTTTATTGTTCAATTTTAATTTGATCTAAAAAATATCACTGTGTGATACAATTTTGTGGATAAATAATACTGTCGTAATAGAAATGTATAATAATACTAATCATATTAATGCCTAAGGCAATGCACGGTTTCACTTTAAATTCGTTAATGATTAAAGAATTCATCGAAAACAGCGATATTTCTTCATCCTTAATAATTAGTAAATTATTGAATATTAAACTCAAATAATGAAATTTGTTCAGAAAGATTTATTCTTAAATCATATGTGAAAATCATGTATGAAAATAAGCAGAAATTTAGCTTTAAATTAATGAAATTGTCATAAATCTATCGGCGCTATTATACCGATTTAGATTTTCGATTGTCGCTGTTTTGTCGCGTTTGATGATCTGAATTTTTCTTGCTTCATTGTTCAATTATGTGCGTAAATAACACCGCTAACAATTTGGTCATCCTGCAAAGAGCTCTATTAAAAGCCAGTGAGTGGTACAATTTAGTAAGCAAATAAACAACACCTCTGGTAACAGAAACGAGCGAACGATATTATTAACAATAATATTAATGCCTAAGGCAGTGTTCGGTTTTACTTTACATTTTAATAAATAAAGAAATTCATCGAAAAGAAGAATATTTCTTTATCTTTAAGAATTAGTAAATTTTTGTGAATAATAAATTCAGATAATAAAATTTGTTCTGAATGTTCTTTCTTGATAAACCATCCCTTGATAAGCTATTTGGAAATTTAGAATAGCTTTTCTTGGTTTAAATCAAAAGCTTCTTTAAAAATTGCTTTCAAAGCTTATTATTATTACTTAAAGTGCAAAATTCGATTGAAATGAGTGATTTGATTGATTAAAGCTGCTTTGAATGGCTTCAGAAACCTTGAAAAAACTATGTTTGAACAGCAGACGATTTCAAGCGGAAGATTATCATCCAAAAATTTTAAAATTCGGTTAATGAGTAGGATTAATGATATCATAATTGCACGTCATTTGCACGCTTGTTGGTATGAAATAAATGTACTTCAAATTTCAAAAAACATGTTTGAGCACCTGAAGGCAATGTCGAGTGGTGGAGTATTTTTTTACTGGAATATAATCGAAATAATAGTTGTTTTTGCGGCTTATATATAGCTCAATTTACAAATCGGATGCAAATAATTTGACTAGTGAGCATGTTCGTTGCTTTGTCGCTTGTCCTAGCATCCTTATGCATTCTCGCTAATGGAGATGATGCAGTACCAATAGATGTATGCAATGTTCTAATGCCAGGAATGCCTCCTGTACAAAGACCTTCAGTGCCTGTTGACAACTGTCAAGATCGTGATGTATTGGCATGTTTTGAAATATTCAAACCTGAAGACGACCCTGCTAGGCTTGGAAGGGTGCTTAATGAGAATCGTATGGAGTGAGTTTCTGGCCATTTAAAATATGTTTCGCATTATTTTACGCTCATTTATTTCTACAATACTTTAAATAATAACTGAAAAAATTTAAATTGCTCTTTGATTTTATAACTAAAAGCCGTTTCATTATGAATGGCAGTTTCATCGAAGATCCATCGTATTCAGCTTAATTTTTGTGACAAATCATTCATATTTTCTGGAAGGAAATTCTATTTTTTTGCGCTACATTATCAATTTAAGTTCATAAAAAATCCCTCAGCAATAATAGAAAATTTAAGAAATAAGAATAAAATTTCGATTCCAATATTTAAGAAATAAGAATAAAATTTCGATTCCAATATGATTTCTTTCATGTGTTATAGAAATATGGATTATAAAGTGCGAAACAAATGTCAACAGCCTCCCTATAGAATGTTGGCTCGGCAACTGTGTCCACGAATGTGCGCGACGTGTTGCTTGACTAAGGAATATAACTGTGAAAATGGTAAATATTTCACAGTTATCATTTTTATGAAATAGTTAAATTCAACAAGGATGGCTTCGATTTCTTCATTTCTCCTGCATTTTTATTACTTTTTATTACTTATATTTCATTATTTGAAAAAAAGAACTAATATTAAAGATTAAAGAATTAAAATAATAATGGAGTAGGTTGAAGAAAATAATTAAAAATACATCCAATTTTAGTTGGAGGTCGGGAAGGACCGTGCAGAAATTTTTCAAGGTCACTCTGTACTAGCATCCCAGATTTTGCTCTACGATTTTGCCCACAGACTTGCGGTCATTGTCATTTACCTGGCGCTGCAAACATGTGTCCGGACACTATTGATGGTTGCGATGTTTTGGTGCCACTGGGTGTTTGTACCAATGACAAACTAAAAAACATGTGTCAGAGATCATGCAATTCACGCGACTGTTTATCAAGTATTTTTTCGAAATTTTTTACAAACTATTTCAAAAGTTAGAAACAAGAAAATTGAAATACACAGAAACCATAAAAACTAAAGTTTAATGAATTTTAGCGACAACTTCATCACCTCCAACACAAAATTGTAAAGACGAACGACAAGGCTGTGAAGCAATAAGAGCATCAAATAGTTGTGGCGGTGTATTTCGTACAACAATGATGCAACAATGCGCAAGAACGTGTGGTTATTGCACATAATTATTTAGTTTCATGAAATATATATTCCATGTATATTCCAGTATGAATATTGCAATCCATTTCGCATTTTCAATGGAGAAATTCGCTAAAGAAGCTTAAAATATTTTTAAAAGAAAAATAATTTTTTTTTTTTTGGGGTTCTTCGATTTTTCATTTTAAATAAATATTTATTTTACAATTCACATATACACAATTATTTGGCAGATTACGAAGTTCTTGCAGAAATCGGTTAATTCTTAAATTAACAACTCAATAGTGGAACCGATTTTGAAAGAGAAACAATCAGAGAAATCCGATTAAATCCTTTAGCACAGTATTTAAGTTTGAACCTCCCGAGAAAATAACACAAATCGGCTCTGGCGATATTTTTCCAGTATGGAAGAAGGAAATGGAGATAAAGGCCCACCTCTATGAGCAATAAAAAAGGTTCGCATGACGATTAACATTATGTGGTCCGCCATTTTAATAAATTATTGTCGATATGCCTTCAAAGCATTTTAAAATAGCGGATTATTACTCCCATTTGTGGAGCCCCAATGTTAAAATTTCGACTCTCAAATGGAATAAACTTGTTCATCAAAAATTTAGATAATGTTGAGAGCTCATCTGTACTTCCGCCAAGCGACTCGTCTAGCAGAATTTATCTGGTCAAGTAAGCTAGTTGAGCAATTCCAATCAGAGATTGGAGGCAATCTTTAAAAAAAATTTC